AAAAACATACCAAGAAGCCTTTCCTAGCTATTACAAGTTCTTTCTTAAATATGCTAATTACATCAAAGACGAATTCATGCAAGATGGTATCAGAGCGGATTGGATTTGTGTGGCAAACTACGATGCAGCACTACGGAGCCAATTTGCTATCAGGAGAGATGTATCGTTTGCTGACTGGAATCACGAGAGCCTGGGGACCATCAGAACCAGGCACATGCAGAAAGCATACGACGACAATTTTCAAGGAAGTTCTTCAATGGCTTCTACGAGTGCTCAACCATACACTCAAACATCTCAACGGCCTTCTTCCCAACGTCCGAAACAAAGTTTTCAAAATCGAGGATCTCCGGCAAAAGTTCATAATTCGCCGAATTATTACAACTCTAATTTCAAACATCGGGGGATACACGAGGTCGAGGATTCCGAAGGTCTTAAAGTACATGAACAGTTCTGTTTTGCACACAATCTTGGAGAATGCAAACTTAAGAAGAGCTGCCCCCGCATCCATCTTTGTGTTGGTTTGATTCTCATAATTTTTCTTAGAAATTTCTTCAATTTCCCTAGACTTTATCTGACGTATGAGTATGTTTTCTCAGAACGTCAAAAATTGCAGACAAGATCACAAAGGATGTGATCATGTATGAGGGAGAGGAATCTCAAGATTCTAATGCCTGCAATGCTGATGAAGGGTTGGTATTTCTAAAAAAATTTTGATAAGAATTGAGATTAGTCTTTTTTAGTTACTGACAACTGTGTTATATTGTCAGAACGACCACCAACGTAAAGGAAGACACCAAAATGAGTTTGCCTGATGAAAATATTTCTCAAAAGTTCCTTCGAGGGTATGTATGGGACGGTGTCAACCAACCAGGATCTTCTCCAGCAATCGAGTCCAGTCTTTATGCTCGACCTTTTCCGGATGCGCCTCCACTTTCTGAGGATACCGACGCTATTCTGGTTCTGAAGCAATTTCCACATTTGTTTAAGATCATAACCCCAATTAACGCAGACAAATTAGAAACGTTGCTGGTCAACCATCCGAATCAGCCTTTTGTGAAGCCGGTCCTCAAAGGTTTACGAATAGGTTTTTGGCCCAGTTCTTCAATTCCGTCATCAGAAATTATAGATGGACCGAACCACGTATCTTGTGAAGAACATCAACAGCTGTTAGATGATCAATGCCAAGAAGAGGTCGATAAAGGTAGATATTTGGAAGAGTTTACAATTCTACTTCCAGGAATGAAAGTAATTCCTTTGTTGATGACATCTAAAAAAGATTCGGTAAAAATGCGCGTATGTTCGAACATGAGCGCAGGACGTCCTTCACCTAATGACTTGATTGATAAAGATAACATTCCAGTCGCATATGATTCATTGAAAACATTTATTCCTTATTTGATTCAGATGAAGAAAGAATTTGGAGAGGTGGTTTTATTCAAATCAGATGTGGAAGGCGCCTTTCGAATTATCCCTCTACACTTTCAATATCAGATGCGTCAAATTATCAAGATCAAAGGTAAAAAGAAAAGAGTTGATCATAATTTAACTTTCGGATCATCAGCTTCTCCTCATATCTGGTGCGGAGTTTTTTCGTTAGTATTATGGATTGCGGAATTTATTTTTGGTATAAAGTATATGAACAATATGATGGATGACGTGTGGGCTGTTTGTTCGAAAAAACACTTTGTGAAATTCAAGGATCATTTAATTCCTCTTCCTCAAGCGAAATTGCTAAATTTGTTTGATATTTTAGGCATTCCATGGGTTTGGAAAAAACAATTACATGGTCCAATACTGGAAATAATTGGTCATATAGTAGATTCAGAAAGTATGATAATGTGTTTACATCAAGACAAGAAGACTCATTTAATAGAAACACTTCAAGACTTTGTCTCAAAACCGAAACATTCATTAAAAGATTGGCAATCAATTTTAGGACACGCGTCATGGGCATGTACATCTATGCCATGGGGAAGATTTGCGTTGCAAAGTCTATATGAAAAATCAGGGAATAAGTCACATTGTTTTCTTCAGATTCCACTGAATAAAGAAAATCAAAAAGATTTACGTTGGTTAATTGATTTTTTCAAGAAGAGTGATGGTATTTTATTGTTAGAATCGTTAAGGTGGAATCTTTCGGATGCGGATGAAAACTTCTATACCGACGCTTGCATGACCGGGATCGGTATTTGGGATGTTAATCAAAACATCGGTAATTATTTCGTGTTACCACCTCCGGCGCGAAACATCTATTGGGCTGAATTGCTAGGGGTAATTTTGGCGGTTAAAATTGGCATTGCAAGAGGGTCTAAGCGTATTTTTATACATTCTGATTCTAGGAATGTAGTGGATTTGTTCAAGTCTCATGCACCTAACAAGATAGTTCGTCCTTTGTTTAGTCATTGCGTCAAACATTTGGTTGAACCGGGAGCAAATGTGAAAGTCATGCACATTTCAGCCGACGATAATTCAACAGCCGATGCTCTTTCATGTCAAAAGTCAATTTTAAGTCCTGAGAAGTTGGAAGTCCTGTGTCATGCAGTCAACGTATCGTCGATAAACTATTTGAACATCAAAACTTCGCTTTCCTGTGGTGGTCAAGCTGCAAATTTAGATACTTTCGATCCATCTTCTCGGATATGGCTAAATCCAAATCAAAGAAAGTTATGTTAAACATCAGTATTGAAGAATTGCGGAAGCTATCGGTCCAAGATCGACGATTGACTATTGCTCCAAGATCTTTAGAGAAAATACAAATCTGGTTTTAGATGCTTTGCAAAATTTTGTTCTCATTTTCATTCTCCTTTTATTCCGAATAAACAAAACTTATGTGAATTTATTACATGTTATAGTCGAATGATATCTCCAAGATCGGTCAGGATTTATTTAGTTGGTATCAGTTACATTTTTAGGTTAGAATTTCCAACGGTTATATGTGAAGTGCATCATCAAGAAGTCAAAGACACAATGAAGTTCTGTATCAAAAACTTTTTGAAACCAGTGATTCGAAAAAACCCACTTACGGTCGAACATATTGAATTGGTTGTGTCTAAGTCATCTTCTTCTTTAGATGATAAACTCTTTTTAGCTTTGTTAGGTGTGGGCTTTGGTGGCTTACACAGATTAGGAGAACTAACAGTTCCAGATTCAAAAAAGTTTTTCGACTCTAGGAAATTAATTCTTCGATCGTCTTTGAAATTCTCCCTTTGCAAGAAATTTGTCCAATATCATTTGCCATATTCAAAAGGCGATACGAATTTTTTAGGAGCTCCTGTTATTATTCAGAAATTTCACAATTCATCAGCTTGTCCGATTGGTTCATTGAAAGCTTATTTACAAGCAAGAGACGAAGAATACATAACTTTGAAAGAACTTTTTCTAACGTCAGAAGGAATTCCGCCTTCTCGAACTTAGTTTTTAACACGTTTTCATAGTCATTTTGACAAATCCTTTTCTGGACATTCATTATGTTCCGGTGGTGCTACAGCATTAGCTCAAGCAGGCGCTAATATGGATTACATTAAAAGTGCGGGACGCTGGTCGTCAGAAGCTTTCTTGATTTACGTCCGAGGTCATGTTGCGTTACGATTACCAGAAAATCAGAATCACGTAATTGGACATGCGTCTCACGTGGGATCTAGAGTTTCGTTTTCTTAGTGAGTCTTTAGATTCATTGTTTCTTGAGACAGGTCAATGGTTCTTAGGCCTCTGTCTTAAAAAGTTTATCACTGGTCAATGGTATTTTTATACCTCTGTGATGGTTATTGTTCGATTTTATATTGGTTTTTATACCATGATTTTGGGTGTCTCCATTATGATTGGATACTGATAAATTGTCTTATGTTTTTTGAAAGAACTCTCCTACGTCACCACTCTGCTATACGGTTTGTAGGCGGGTCGGAGAGGGATTATTTTTTGAAGCAATTTATTTACCCTAGGCAACCTAGCCTAGGGAATTCACCCAAACACACTCTTTTCTATTTTCCTTTAGTATTTTTTAATACTAAGTTTTGTAAGTTTTATGTTCCACATTTCTATCAGATCTTCAGAATCATCTTTTTCAATACACCTTAGTATGAGTCAATGTGTTTGAAGTCAAAATCATGGTCATAGTAGATTGATGGGGCTTGATGATATACTTACCAATCATTTTTAATGAATGTTCACTTTGAAGATGAGTTTTCACTTCAGTACATAGATCCCAGTTTCAAGAATAAGAATGACAATGTGGAATTTATTGCTTTGTAATCTAACTATGTATAGAAGCCATGCTGCCATACCCAATAATCAGGTTACATGATGGAGATCTAGGCAGCCATTTCACTTTTCTTTCCAAGGCACCAGACTTGAAATTCAATGGAATCACTGATCAGACTGAGCCTACAGTTTTCTGTACAATTCAAATGCACATCCTTTGTGCAGTATTAACAAGAAAGATGCCTTGGATTGACTAATCTGAGGTTTCCTTATAAGAATCAGATGCTTGATTACCATCAGATACAAGTGTCCAATTAATCCATCTGAGGCAATCTTTGGGTCCAAAGAAAGCCTTGCATCATTTCCTCACATACCCAGTCCCCCAGTCCAAGGGAAGTTGAAACCCATACCTGAGGATACCTTTGATTTTCCAATGCAAGGTATCTTTGCTAACAGTGCAGTGAATCAACTTTTTCTCTGAAAGAATAACTTACAACTTCATTTACATACTTGATTTCTTCAACTTTTCAATCCACATGTATATATAAATCTTTCTCATTCAAACCTTACAAAAACTAAACCACCCATCACCAAATCATCAATAAATAAAAAAGCTACAAATCAAATTAACTTATTACTGATATATATATATATATAAACGAATCAAATCATCAACTTGGCTATACTCTTTCACTTTTTTTAAAGAAACTCATATAATATCTTATAAGTACTCTTTGAAAGAAAATATACAAATCATCGTGTAAATAATTCCAAATTTACATTTGTAGAACAGAAACCAAACTTTACGGCTCTTGTTTTGAAAAACTAATCATTCCATATCTATTTTTTAAAAAATCCAACCAATGCACCAAGACGATCAATTTCAACTTTCTTCTTGATTACATTCTCTTCCACAAATCGAACACTGAACTTACTTTCCATTAATTCTCCATTCAGGATCAGTTTCATCCATTTCTTTTTGTAATCCGTTTCTCAAACCTACAACCACATCAGCTTTACAAGTCCTATATATATATTATAAAAACCCATGAAGAAAAAACCCATCAATCCATGATGCTCTTGAATTTTGGAAAAGAAAAAGCAAAAGAAAAGTTTAAATCACCTAAGTGAAAGTAAATTAATCAAACTCTCTAAAGGTCCAATGGAATCTTCAAATCGAACGGTCGTTTCCCAATTCGCATCACCCGTTAATTTTCGATAATTCAAATCTCCTTTAAAAATCACTAAATCAGATGACTTTAAATCTTTCCAAAGTTCTTGAGATTGGTTTGGTAAATCCCAAAATGGAAATGGACTTGTCCAAACTATTTAATCAGATACAAACCAACAAATCAACAAGAAAACCTTCAAAACCTTTAAGACTTGGTTCGTCTTTTAATTTCTTGAAAAACTATCCAAAAGATTTCTTATAAACATACCAGATGTATATTCATGAGCGATTTCCCATTTCTTAGTCACAAAATGTTCTTTCCAACGTTTGACCAATGGTTCCAAGACTTCCACATCATTATACTCAATCAAAGCTTCCAATAAACCTTTGATATCTTTTTCCATCACATCACTGACAAACCTAAGAAACGAAGGGTTTCGAGAAACCGTTCTTTTCAATGATCAGATGAATAGAAGTGAAAGTGATCAATGAATGTGATGGGTTTCTTACCATGGGATATCTTTGGGATGAAAAACTACTTTGGTAGCGAAAGGAGAAATCGAAATGAACCCTATTACCAAACCGAATGTTACTCAAGTCAATCAAACATCAAAAAACCAAACGATCATCAACTCTATCCGAACACTTACAATCAGCAAGTACAAGATCAGTAAAAAGTTCAAACCCAGCATTATCTAGTACGATATCAATCCGTTTGACGTCTTCATAACCGTTCTCTTTCTTGTGATTCAAGTTTTCATTCATTCTTTTGTAAAGCGTTTCAAAATCATCTTTTAAAATTCTTGAACTATCTGAACGATTTTCAGATTGTAATTCATAAATCGCTTCTGATGAGATCGTAGGTAACAAACTTAAATCCTATCAACCCCCCCAAAAAAACAAAGAGGTAAAAAGGTTAATGACATCTATGAAGAGTAAGAGAAAAGGGTTTTTTTGTGTTCGAAAAAGATGATCACTGACAGTTGCATTACCCCATAATGAAGCCAGAAGAAATCCTCGAAAACTGGTACGTAATTGATCTTCATTGATTGGGTCAAGGTTGGAAATACTAAGATTAAGGGTAGTAGCTAATTTAAGAATGGCGGGAAATGATGCTTGAAGACATGACGTTTTCGGTTCATGGAATGGGTCATAGGTTTTCCAATGTTCAGAACTCATGAAAAAACTATTCAATCGTCGGTATCTATTTCCCTCCCCCCAAAAGAACCACAGTCAAGTCAGTGATATGTCTTGTTTTAAGATCGAAATGAATGTCATCTTACAAATAACATTCGGCAAACTGGTTTGAAAATGGTCATATGATTTGGATTAGTTCAAGAACCATGTGTACTTTAGAAATTGAAGGTAGAGGTCAACAAACCAGCCAAGAAGCAGTAAACCAAGTCGATTTATTTGCAGCCTTTGCTTTTTTAAGTTCTTCATTATACAATACTAAATTTTGACCACCGTCATCGATGATCGGTCTAAGGATTTCAAGCATACAAAAGGCATCATGAGAATCAAATCAAGCCAATCCAAAAGATTGAAATGAATGATGACGAACCCAAGTTCTTTATCTCTAGCACATTGATATTTAAGTTCCGAAATTTGACTAATGATCAACTTTCCATGTTTTAATTTATCATTTTGATGATCACCTCCTTCATCTAAAAGTGAATTATTGATTTTCACCATTCTATCAATTATATTGGTTAAGATCATAGGCCATCTTTTGATGGTCGATTGGTATGCAAACGTATTGGGATTAGATGCTGAATAAGGTTCGATCGAGAACCGAACCGGTGGTTGGTATGATGAATTTGGAAATCGGGTGGTAGTCATTATTAAAGGTGAAAGATGAAGCTTAGGTGGTCTGTTGAAGGTTTCGGGAAAGATGGTGACTGGATTAGTTTTTTCTTTTTTGATAAGTTGATCGATTTGAATGAAAAGAAGGCTTCTTGACCCACTTTTTTAATGAATGGATGATTTTAGGGTTCAAGATCAGAGGTGCAGATGTGATTGAGTTTGAAGAATGAAGATGATGGGACAAAGGTGAAGGAGAACGAGAAGGAGTTGGATATTCTGAAGTTGAATGAAGCTGATAATGCTGAAGTTGTTGTTGATGTAACATTTTAAATTACAATCCAATTGAACGATAATGTATAAAGAGATACAATTTTCAAGTTAAAAAGCAGAATATATATTTAAGTAAGAAAAGGGTTCAAGATTAAAAGTCAGTTAATAGTTCAAATTCAACTTCAACTTCAATTTACAATCTTTATCCAACCTCCAAAGGGCGCACTCACTGCGGTGCTCACACTGCGATCGATCGATGGATCATTAAAACACTTCAATCAGAGCATCCGCACTCGTGCGGTAAATCGCGTGCGGTAAGGTAAAATTTACCGCAACTGCGGGGCCTTTCCCACACTGGTGAGAAATTAGGCCCGCGGTAGTTAACTTTTGATCGATTTGCGTTAGCGAATCGGTAAATTTACCGATTGGCTAACGCATGTGGTAGCCAAATTACCAGCCCCCTCTTCACTTCTCAAGCACACCAACTTGCCAACTTGCCAACTTGACTCAACTCCGACTCAACTCCTCTTGATTCCTCTCGACTCAAAACACCCGACTTAAGAATCAATGGAGACCCGACTGTCTTCTAATTCATCAAACTAATGGGTATGTCTGGTTTCTTACTGTATGATTCTCTTTATCCAACATTGATTAAGATTGTTCTACTTTACATGTGATTATATATATGTTCATTGAGATTTTGGATTTATCAATATCGAATTGGGTTTAAAAGGGTTTTAGATCAAAGTGGATCAATTTCTGATCGTTTGTTTTGATTTTAGAAGGTTTTGAACATGTCTTGTCGTTTGGATTGACTTCAAAAGGATTTGAAAAATAGATATCACATTCAACTGTAGAGGGGAACTATGCAAAAGGGTCTTCATTATCTGCATTTCTTTTCAAATTCTCAATGGTCTTCAACATGACAACTTTTAATTGATGGTGCAATGAATTTTTGTTTGCTTGTCTACAAACCTCTCTGTGCCAACCATCCAGTGGTGATGAGATCTCAAGTTACTCTCAAATGAACTTCCCTGTCCCAAAGCTCTTCTTCCCTGGCAGGGATCGCTTGAAATGCACTGATTGACTGAAAAGTCGATTGATTTTTTTGTTTGGTATATTTTGAGTCTGTAAACTCTGCATCAGTGTGGAAACTCAAATTACCTCTCAAGTTAGTTAACTACCGTGCAGGTAATTTTGGCACGAGTGTGAAATTTGGTCACGTTAAGTAATTTTTTACTTAATGTAGAGGTTGTTACCGCACATGATCAAGTTAACAACCGCAAACGAGTGCGGATGCTCTCAGAGCATATTATTTACATACACGTAACACACAGTATACTGTTACTGTACAGGAGACTGCCCGACGCCGTCCCGAGACAATGACGTCTCGTATTTGGTTCCGACTCGATATGACGGAACTGGACTGCTCAGTGGAAATGGTCCATAGCGCATCTATGGATCCCTCTGAACCCTTCTTGTTGATCTTTTCTTTTTTATTATATTCCAATCAATTTAGGTAGTGAAGTTGGAATTGAAACACGTTACAAGTTCCATAAGAATGGTACAAATGATGGCTAACATAAGAAAGACGAAAAAAAAGACCAATACATCATCATGAGTGTTTTTGAAGATCTAATTCCTTTTAACAACCTGAATTATGACGAAGAACACTGGTGAGATTTCCCAAAAGTAATTTAAGCGCATCTTTAGCCACACCTCCATAACGGGTATCATCAACATTAGTGAATTGATTAAGAATCAAACAGATCAGGTTGACGTCTGCAACAGTATTGATTTGAACCGGATCAGCATTCCATGTACCTAGAGCGCCATTGTTGGAACCAAAGATAGGCTGGAAACCAAGAGATATAAGTTATATGATTACTAGGAGAAAATCAATTGAAAACGAAAAGACTCACAAAACTGTAAGGAAAAGATTTTGATAGTTTTAGATCGAGATACGGTCTGTGAGTCACTTGAAGGGAAATTGAAAAGAGTAAAGAGCTTACTCTACGAAAAAGAGGGAAGATCAGCCTTGAGTTTTTTGTTGATAAGTGTTGGAGAGATTAAATTACTTACGAGGTGCTAGACTAGCAATACCAGCTTCAACAAACTCCGGAAACTGAGATTCGGCAGCGCATCCGATGTTAGAAATTAGAAAAAGCCAAAGAAATATTCTTGTTTGAAAGAAGTCACATACAGTGTGAGGCACAGTTCTTCGGTACCAAACTCCACTAGATCCTGGAGGAAAACGACTACTTCCATGAGTGTATTGACCAGTGGAGTCTTTGTGAAATCCGAAGAAAGTATCAATAGTATCGACAAGGGCAGGACCAGGCTTTCCGTTCTCTTCAGAGGAAGGTATAAGGGTTGAAATCAAATTTTGAGCCGCATAGAATGCAAACCTGGGGAAAGTTTGTGATGATCATCAATCAACTTGTTCAAGAGTCATCAGGGAAATATTGCTTCTTACTGGTCAACAACAGCCTGAAAGGATCATCAAGTTCATCAGTATCAGTCGAGAAGTAGATGTAAGTTTGATAAGAAGCTCACCCAATGACATTCAGGATTCATGTCTCGGCATTCTTTGTACTAATTGAGCAAGAGGAGGGAGAAAAGAGTGAGCCTTGAGTAGATTTGTGTAGTTAGAGGAGCTTGCTCTTGAAGACCTACCTGAATGGATCGGACTTCTGAATTCCAAGGAATTGACATCACACCATCGTATTTCTCAACTAGGGAAGCAACAGAAAAGTAAGTAACCATTCTCAATGGTACTGAAGCTAGTAAGACCGACCTACTCACCAGCAATTTGTCTCCATCGGTTCCATCGGGTTCCATTGAAGTGAGACCTTTTACCAGGTGCAAAATAAGCATCATCACCTCCCAAAGACCCATCAATCTCATATTTATTATGCGCTTCGGCAGAAAACAATCCAGGAGCGGTTCCAAGAAGAACACTAAGTGGTCCATCTGTTCTAGAATCTGTTCTTCCTATTGACATTTTCAAACTGCCCCGTAGACGTCATCCGATCAGGTTTTCGGTTGCTCACATTTCGAGACTTAAGAGCAACTCTCACTCACGTTGTAAGATCGACGCAAGTTTTGAGCGCAAAGGCAATCAAGACTAAAGTGAAGTCAGGAGCAAGGCTGAATAGAAAAGCCATGATATCAACGAAATCGTATCTGAGAGAGGAGTAAGCTTTTGAAACTGACCCCAGTCCTTCTTGCAAGCCATACGCCAGCTGAGTCATATCGGTGATACCATTACGAGGGATCTGTAAGAAGTGATGAATCAGTTCAGTTTATATTATTAAAGCCAAGTATACCAATACTATCACTAACATATCCATGATTAGCCATGATGTTGAGTCCAGGGCACAATCCTGATCAAAACGGATACATGAAAGTCAGTTACAATTACAAAAAGGTAAGAATGAGATGGTTTGCGCATACCACGAACATCTCCTGGACCAGGTTCCTAGTGAAGATTAAAAAATCAGTCTCGATCCCCCCCCAAAAAATCTACTGAAGGAGAACTCACCATGAATTCGTGTTCGGCGTCAGGGATAATTTTTCGTCCGACGCTGACGATGGGTGCCAAGTCTATGTTTGCTATAGAAAATGACAAATGGATCAGATGAATCTGTCTTTTGTTGTGGATGGTATGGATTGACATACATGGAATGCCGAGTCCTAGCAGGCCTGAGTTATGATCAGTGCCCATCGCAGCTAAAGAAAAGAACACGACTCCCTAAAGGTTCAGCATGTTGAACTTGCATGCATCGATGAAAGGGACACTGACCATTCGATTCACCGTTGGTGTTTCCAGCCCCAGTGGAATCACCGTTGGAGTTTCCGGCACCGTTAGTGTATCCGTCACCGTTGGGGTTTCCAGTGGATTGACGATTGTAATTCGCCTAGATTGTAAAATTAGTTCAGCTTGATAAGTATTAAAAAAAGGTTGGGTTCAACGTACGTATTGAGGGAACGCTCCAACTTGGGTGATGAACGCAATGGACAAAAGGACGAAAGATTGCATAGTTGAGCTTTTCATTTTGAGACGATGAGTCTTTCAAAGAGGTGAAGATTGGGTAGTGATTAAGAATTAAGAGGTAAGAATTAAGGAAGCTGAAGCCCGAAAGTTATTAAGCCTGAAGAGGTGATTAAATTAAAGGTATAGGAAGTTGTGTAACAGATAAAGGTTTAGAGGAGGATGTGAAGTGGAATGATTGAAGTGAAGCAGGAAGAAGCGTATCAATTTATACCTCTCTGACCGCTGCAAACGAGAGGCCAGCACTCTGTTACTTTCAAAGAGTCTATCTGGATGACCAACAGACCGGTGTGGATGTTGAAGATGGTAAGCAATCGACACGCTACTCTGGATCCTAATCTCCACTTTGTGGACAACCTACCCATGAGAGACGCCTTGCCAAACGGAAGCACTTGGCCGGTCTCTCGAAATAAATTTCGTTGCAGACTGCCTTTAATTTCACGTCCTATCCAAGAATCTCAAGTGCGGTGTGAATGCTGCAGATGGCAAGCAATAGCTATCAATTACTCTGGATTGAAATCCACCCTCCACTTTACAGACAGCGTAGCTACGCGCAAGACGCAACTTCAACACTCTCTACTTGCACTAGACCGATGACATCACAGACCTTGCGAATAGATTTCTACACCGACATGCAACTCAACCGCTTCCTAACCGCCGGGAAGCAGCACTGGCAGTCAATGTTGGAATTGCGTTTGTCGTAGCCATGCTTAGCTTAACAAAGCCTAGGATGGATTTCAATCCAGAGCAGCATAGCGATTACTTGTCCTCTTCAGTATTCAAGTCGACATGATGACCACCTTCATAATTTCTTCGAATCGTGTGAGAATTCAAAGACAGTCTGAGACGAAACGATTCTCAAGAGACTCAACTGCTTCCGAAGGGTGTAGTCCGTTTGGAGATCCCGCTCGATGGCTCCAATGTGGATTGGAATCCAGAGGAGCGTGGCGATTCCTCACCTTCCTCAACATCCACACCGCCCTGTTAGGCATCTAAGTAATTTACTTCAAACCAACAGAATGTTGGCCTTTCGTTTGTAACGATCAGAAAGGTATGAATTGATAACCCTCTTCCTGCTTGACTCCATTCATCCCACCACCCTCTAAATCTTTATCTGTTACACAACTTCCTATACCTTTAATTTACTACTCATCTCTTCAAGCTTAATAACTTTCGGGCTTCAGCTTCTTTAATTTTTGCTTCTCAATTCTTAATCACTATTCAAGCTCACGTCTTTCAAAGCCTCATCGTCACGAATTCGAAATGAAAAGATCCAGTATGGAATCCTTTGTACTTTTGTCCATTGCGCTCATCACCCAAGTCAGAGCGTTCCCCCAATACGTACGTTGGACCAATCTTTTCTTTTGGTTATCAAGTTGAACTGACCTTGCATTTCTTTCAGGCGGCTTACAATCATCGATCTGCTGGAAACTCAAATGGTTTGTATATCTTTAGCCAATACATATATCATAGAACTACAGAATGCTGAACAAGGTCTAATCCTCCCTTCAGGACCCATGGGCACTGATCATAACTCGGGCTTGTTAGGGCTAGGTATCCCATGTAAGTCGACACATGCACTCTTAAGGGAAGTAAGCTTTATCTGATCTATTTATACTTGCCTACAGCGAGTATAGACTTGGCACCCCTCATCACCGTCGGAAGAAAAATCATCCCGGACGCCGAACATGCATTTATGGTGAGTGTTTTGAAGTTATGTGTTGTTACGATCAAGACTAATCTCTTTACTCTTGGTTAGGAACCTGGTCCAGGAGACATTCGCGGTATGCTCTAATAGATTCATCCTTACCTTCTTATACATTGGACTGAATGTCATGGTCTTGATCAGGACTGTGCCCTGGACTCAACATCATCGCCAATCATGGATACGTTAGTGGTGATATCCTCAAACTTGGCTTTGAGAATATTAACTGACCTTCACTTGCTTCTTGTAGATTCCTCGAAACGGTATTACCGATATGATCCAATTGGCGTATGGTCTAGAAGAAGGCCTTGGGTCAGTCCGAAAAGCTCATGTATGACTCATATTCAAGTGACAATCTTGTTGATCTTCCGTCCGTTTTTCTTCAGGGTCGCTCCTGACTTGACATTGATTTTGATTGCCTTTGCGCTCAAAACATCTGTCGATCTTACAACATGAGTGACTCCCAAGACTTGAAATCTGATTGATTAATAGAAGACCTAATCGACATATCACGTCTACCGATCAGGATGAAGATGTCAATAGGAAGAAGTGATTCTAGAACAGATGGACCACTTACCAATCTTCTTGGAAGAGCTCCTGGATTGTTTTCTGCTGAAGCGCATGATAAATATGAGATTGATGGATCTTTGGCAGCCGATGATGCTTATTTCTCAGCTGATAAAGTGTCTCATTTCAATGGAACTCGATGGAATCGATGGAGAGAAATGGCTGGTCAGTTGTGTCAATCTTGATGGTTCATCTTTCAATCGAGTATGGTCGTTGAATACTTTCAGTTTTCTAGTTGACAAATACCAAGGTATCATGTCAATTGAGTGGAACTCGGAAGTTCGATACATGCAGGTAGATCTTCAAATCAAGCTCTTCTGACTAAAATTCGATAAAGCTCACTCTTGACTCCTTCATGTTTTTAATCAAACCAGTACCAAGAATGCCGAGATACGAATCCAGATTGTCATTGGGTAAGTTTCTTATATCGAACTTGAATCTAGATCTCTGATGAAACAAGCTGATGACCATGTTCATTCTTTCAGGCTTTTCTTGACCAGTACGCATGATCTTTTGATGAGTTACAATCACTTCCACTGACGATTTCTACAAACCTTTCAGGTTTGCGTTCTATGCCGGTCAAAATTTCATTTCGACCATCATGCCATCCTCTGAATCCGACGGAAAACCTGGTCCAGCCCTGGTAGATTCTATTGATACTTTCTTCGGATATCACAAAGATTCAACTGGTCAATATGCTCGTCAAGATAGTCGTTATCCTCCGGGTTCTAGTGGAGTTTGGTACCGACGAACGATTCCTCATACTGTATGTTGTCTGTTTAAGAGAATCTAGCTTTTGATCATATTCTGAACACCGGATGGGTTGATGAATTTTAGTTGGCCGAGTTTGTTGAAGCTGGTATTGCTAGTATAGCACCTCGTAAGTACTTCATCTCTCGAATGATCATCAATCAAGACTCAGAGCTAACCTTGTATTCTTTTCCCAGAGTAAGCTCTTTACTCTCTACTGTACTCTCAAGTGATTCATAAATCCCATCTTCATTCATAACTGACGAAACCGTTTACTTATAGTCTTGTGAGTATTTTCGTTTGGAATCTGTCTTCTCTCAGGAATATATAACTTATACTCCTTTGTTTTGATTAGCCTATCTTTGGCGCCAACAATGGCGGGCTAGGTACATGGAGTGTCGATCCTCTTCAAATCAATTCTCTCGCAGACGTCAACCTGAGCTGTATGATCCTTAATCGTCTGCTTGACGTTGATGATACTCGTTATGAAGGTTTGGATAAAGATGCCCTTAAGTTACTATTGGAAAACATCACAGCCGATCTTCGTCAAAATGTAGGATGTTAGAATCTTTCGATCGATCTAGATGATGATCTGTTTCGTTTTTCTTTTGTTATGTTTTATCTGAACCGTTTTATTGGAATTGTGATGCTTAATCGATATACAATCTGTATGATAGATATAACCTCCACATAATTAATGATCTCATAAATGCTCAATTTTAATATCCTCATCAACCCATAACCACATTCGATATCGACCAAGATGTAGAAAATGACATACCCTACAATTATCATTTTCCTGCGTATCTATATGGAATGATCCAATGACCTTTTCACTTGATGCTTTCATCAAATGTTTCGGTAAGCTATCCTCCTTTCATCTTGAGTTCACCTATGAGCATCTATTAATAAGATTGGGCTGTCTGAATCACACTTGAATCTGTTTGAGATTCTTAAGCTGAAATGATTCATCTTACTCTTGCATATTATCGAGTAAGATGATTTACATGAGCTTGGGCTTATCACAAGTGAAGTTATGGAAGTGAACGCAGATGAGAACGTTGCACAGGATCCGAGAAGGCTGTGGCTTTCAAAAGCTCAAGCCGTGATGGTGAACAGACCGTTGATAGGCCTTGAACCCAAAATGAGTCTGAGCGGGAGCTTGATTTTTCTCTTGGGTTGAAGAAGCTTTTATGGAATTGCAGTAGAATTCTTGATTGATTTGGTGGATTTGTTTTTTTGGAAAGCAATTGCCAAACTTGAAGTCAAGTGAGGTTGAAATGCCATTGCACAGCTTGTAATTCTTGGCAAAATACATACAGAGATACAGGCTACAGGTCGTGATTTGTGGAGAAGTGTATGTAGGAATTGAATGGGTGAAATTACATGTAGTAAAATTGAGTGAAAATCTAAAATTGAAATTATGTAATGAGAGTGAGAATATGTGACTGTTTTTATTTGATCAACCAAGAAGACCAGGAAGCCTCACGAAGAAGTTCAAGTTCAAGTTCGCAATCATGAACGACTGGAATAGCTTTGACGGGCGGCGACATGAAGCGTGCCTGCCTCGTGGTCTGTACTTGGCAAGTTTT